GGGGGGAAGGGCACAGAGCTTCCATGCCCTTTATAGAGGGGCGCCACTCTCCCAGCACCTCCACATGTTCGTCAAACCAGAAGGCCCCCAAACCCAGTCCTTTGGGGTTTCAGGAGGTTTCATTACATAGGCATGATTGATCAAGTCATTGGCCGTTGGTGATTGAACTCAGTGTCCAGCCCCTCCTCTCTGAAGGTGGGGAAGGGGATGCTCAGAGTTTCAACTCTCTGATCACCTGGTTGGGTCCCCTGGCAACCAGCCCCCATCCTTAGAGGCTTTCCAAAAGTCACTCAATGATATAAACTCAGCTGTGTTTGGAAAGAGGGTTGTTACAAACATCGAAACGCTTTTATCCTCTCATTACTTAAAAAATTCTAAGGGTTTTAGGAAGACCAAATATCTGTCTCTTATGATGAATCAAAATGTCTCCAAAACCAACCGGATCTTCACCACAAATAGCCCGAGACACCCTGGCCAGGTAAATTCTTCGTGCCGCCCCCCAGTCGTCTGGGCGACAGCGTGAATAATGGTCCCTCAGAGCATGAAGTGCCTTCTTATTCTCTCAGAGTCTTTCAGTTTAATTGTTTAGCATTCTGTTCCTGTCTTCTTATCGTGACCATGAATTCTTGGAAGTCTAGGGCATCTTTTGTTATTCCTAGCATATGAACCATTATAGACACTCCATAAATGTTGGCTCAGTGAATATATAAATGAATAAATAAATAAAATGATTTGTTTTTCTAGAAGTAAACTAAGAAAACAGCCTTCAAACTTGGATTTGAGGCTTGTGAATAGAGCTTGGTGTATGCACGTGGAGATTCCCTGGTAGACTGTCTCTTAAGTGTCTGGAGACCCTTATTTTACCCCAAAAGGCAGGGAAGAGGGAATGCTATGCTCAAATGAGATTGGAAATTTTGAATTCAAAACGAAGTTTAAAAAAACGATTTTAATTGCAGGACTTTTCGGAGCCCGTATTTAGAGCATTATGAGTGGATATTTGCTTGCAGCATTCCCTTTTCTGGAAAAATCTTTCTCTAGGTTCTACTGGTCTGTGGGCCACACTTTAGGAAATGCTTATCTTATCTCTAGGTTTGAATTTAAAAGAAGATGAAACCCTCCTTTGAATTCATTCCAGTTCAACAAACATTTGCTGAGCGCCCAGCCTGCGCCCTAGGGCACATGTGGCCCACTGCACAAGAGCCAGGGACCACGGTTCACTTAGACTCTAACAAAGAGCATCGCCGTAGTTGGGCAACAGGATGGCTCACCGCATTTCACACACCTGTCATCTCCTGCCTTTCACTATAACTCATCCCTACAGCTCCAGTACTACCACCATACTCAGCAGATCCTTGCCAGGCACACTCTGGACTATGTCACATCACAGGAGCCAGAAGGAACTGAATTTGCGTACCAACCCTCTCTCAGTTGGAAGGATGCAAATAGCAACATGGATATTTACAAAATGCAGGACGGCTTTGGCTTTGTCCCTTTCTGGTTTTTCTTCTCAGTGAAAGGAGGCTGTGTTTTTGACTCGGAGTCCTATTTGCTTGGGTAGTCTTAAAATTTCCTAACCTAGTAAGGATTGAACAGGCCAACTGTTGAATTCCAGAGACATCTTAAGGGTATAGGAGGCTGTGAGATATTTGGGGCCTATGAAAATATTTGGGACCTTGCAAACAAAAAAACCAAAAACATTGCTTTAAAATGTAAAGAAAAAAAATTTCCAAAAGTTAATAAATGTTGGTGTGTCTGGATGTCTCAGACAGTTAAGCATCTGACTTCAGCTCAGGTCATGATCTCATGACTCGGGGGTTCAAGCCCCAGGTCGGGTTCTGTGATGACAGCTAGCTCAGAGCCTGGAACATGTTTCAGATTCTGTGTGTGTGTGTGTCTCTCTCTCTCAGCCCCTCCCCTGCTCATACTCTGTGTCTCTCTGTCTCTCAAAAATAAACACTAAAACAGCTTTGTAAGTTAATAAATGTTAAATGCATTATGAAGTATCACGTTTGTCAACTTCATTACTTGTTCAATCTAGTGTTCATAAAAATGTTCCGTATATATTGGAAAATAATTCATAGATTAACGTAGCGGTTAACAGCATGGACTGTGAAGCCAAATTGTGCTCAAATCCTGACTCCTCCATTTACTGGGACTTCTGCAAGTTGTTCAATGTCTCAGCTTCAGTTTCCTCATCCTCTGTAATCCTGTGTAAAAGAATAGGATAATTATACCACCAACTTCCAAAACGGTTGACAAGACTTAAATGAGCAAAACACTTAGCTAGGCACACTCTAAGTATTGGGTGTGTACTAATTGTTATTACCATGCTTTTCCCACTTGGAAGGGCTTCCAAAATATGAACTTATTTCCAACAAATCACAACCAAATTAAGTGAGTTGCTCCTACTTAAGTAATTTTATATATATATATTTTTTTAATGTTTTATTTATTTCTAGGAGAGAGAGAGAGAGAGAGCGTGAGCAGGGGAGGGTCAGAGAGAGAGGGAGTCACAGACTGAAACAGGCTCCAGGCTCTGAGCTGGCAGTCAGCACAGAGCCCGACGCAGGGCTCGAACCCACGAACCGCGAGATCATGACCCGAGCGAAAGTCGGACGCTTAACCAACTACGCCACCCGGGCGCCCCCTACTTAAGTAATTTTAAAAGCAAAATTAGAAGAACTCCTTCCAAAGGATTTCTTCAAACATTTTATCAATGAAATTTTCAAGCAGACACAAATGTAAAGAGTATATAACGAACCCCAGTACCTTGCACTCAGCTTCAATAATTATCAGCTCACAGCTCCTCTTGTTTCACTTATACTTCTGCCTCTTCCCTGGCCATCAACCCAGGATTATTTTAGGGGGAAGAAAGCTAGATGCTCTGTCATTTCATTTGTAAATATCTCAACATTTCTGAAAAAGGAGGGCTCCCCTAAAAAACAGAACCACAAAACCCAAAACCAACATAAAAATTAATACCATCAAATATCTACCCAGTGTTAACATTTTTGTACTTGTTTGATTTTTTTAAATAGTTTGTTTGAATCAGGATCCAAATAAAGTCAATTCATTGCAAGTGAATGTTCCAAATACTTTTTTTTTTTTTAAGATTTCACTTTTAAGTAATCTCTACACTCAATGTGGGGTTCGGACCCACAACCCCAAGGTCAAGAATTGTAAGCTTCACCAACTGAACCAGCCAGGCGCCCCTCAAAAATACAAGTGAAACCTTGGTTTGTGAGCATAATTCATTCTGGAAACACCCTTGTCATCCAAAGCACTTGTATATCAAAGCGATTTCAAGAACCGTTGGCTCAATTGTGATCATGTGACATTCGGTGTCACATACTCCTCATATTGCAAGAGATCGCTTGTTTATCAAGTTAAAATTTATTAGCTGGGGCGCCTGGGTGGCTTAGTCAGTTAAGCGTCCGACTTTCGCTTAGGTCATGATCTCGAGGTTCGTGGGTTCGGGCCCCACGTCGGGCTCTGTGCTGACTGCCAGCTCAGAGCCTGGAGCCTGTTTCAGAGTCTGTATCTCCCTCTCTCTCTGACCCTCNTTTCAGAGTCTGTATCTCCCTCTCTCTCTGACCCTCCCCTGCTCACGCTGTCTCTCTCTCTCTCTCTCTCTCTCCTAGAAATAAATAAAAATATTTAATAAAAAAAAATTTATTAGAAATGTTTGCTTGTCTTCTGGAACACCCACGGAACAAGTTGCTCACAATCCAAGGTTTTACTATACTTTTAATCTACACATTTTTCCCTTCATCTCTCTTCTTTTGTACTTAATTTTTTCTTGTTGAATTAACCAGGTTGCTTATCTTGAAGACTTTACCACAGTGTGGATTTTGCTACATTGCACCTCAGTGTCACTTAACATGTCCTGTTTCCTCTGTGTTTCCTATGAGTGGTAGTCAATCTCATTACTTGATTAGATTCAGATACAGTTGCTTTTGGAGGCCTCCGTCAGAGGTGCGTCCATCAGGGCCACACAGTGTCTGTGAGATATTTGCAACCAGTGGTGATCTTTTCCTAGACCCATGAATTCATCAAAAGTTGTAAAATGGTGATATTCTAACTTCATCATTCCTTTAATAGTTGGGATACTATAAAAAGCAATACCGTCTCATTGATTATTTGGTTCCCCTGAAGTAGAGTTTGGATAGGAAGGGAAGTGAAATGTTGGATTCTTTCCTCTTATTTACTGGTTTTCAAAGCAAGAGTTTGTTCTCTCAACCCTGCAGCTGACTGTGATCTTGGTCTTAGTTCTTCACAGTGTGGCTGATGCTGCCAATTGAATACACAGTTACCTTCTTTCTCTTCCTTTTTAAAAATTTCGCTTGCCGTATTAGATGTCGCTTTTTGAAATGGTTTTTAATGTTTATTTATTTTTGAGAGAGGCAGAGAGTGAGCAGGGGAGGGGCAGAGACAGAAGGAGACACAGAATCTGAAGCAGGCCCCAGGCTCCAAGCCGTCAGCACAGAGCCCCATGCGGGGCTCGAACTTACAAACCGTGAGATCATGGCCTGAGCCAAAGTTGGGCACTTAACAGACTGAGCCACCCAGGCGCCCCTAGATATTGCTTTTTTATCATTTGATTTTTTTTTACAAGTATATAAAATATTATGTGTTTCCTTGAATGTACAAGACAGGTATATTCAAAGAAGTCTAGATTTTATTTCTGTTCTCATTAGTTTCATCCCTCCTTCTACAGATGACTGTTCTTTTTAAGGATATGTCCTTCCATTACCTTTCTCTCTTCCAAATAAGTAAACATACATATATATTTGTATTTCCCACTTTTTATTTAAACATCGGTATAATACACTCACTTTTCTCCGTTTTGATCAAATAACATTTACAGCAAAACCCTAAAAGTGTATTTTATGTGTGATGTGGCTGGGTGCTATTTTAATTTTGCCATGATAGGTAGGCAGGTCTCCAACAGCTCAGAAAAAGTCAAGCCAGCTGCTTTTATCTTCCCACCCAGACAAAATCCATCTCTAAGCCGGGCCAGTTTGAGGTCGATAGAGTGACTGAGATCAGCTGGCTGAACATGGGAAGCACCCTGGAAGGGCGAGCAAATGCAGTTCTGGCCAGAAGCAGTTCCTGTGAGGTTCAGGGTGCAGAGCTGAGTCTTCAACATCAGGCCTTTGTGATGGGTTTGGGATTTGAGGAGCCCTCCATCTCTCAGAAGGTAAGGTGGAGGCTTACCTTAGATGAACCACATTGGCTGTAATGCTCTAACAGTAGCAGCACGTTAGAATGAATACTTCCTGGCAGTTTTATTTTGTTTTGTTTTGCTTTTTTTGTTATTGCTTTTGTTTTTGTTTTGTTTTGTTTCTTTGCTTGTTTGTTTACAGACTCAAAACAATCCCATACAGAGTGATTAAGGATGTGGACTATTTCAGTCAGAGGTCAGTGCTCCAGGAAGGAAGCAGGGGGCGGGGCCGGGGTGGGCAGTGGGTGGGGCCAGGGGACCTGGCCGTTTTGGACGCAGCCCCCCTCCTTCCCCGGGGGTGGAGGGAGACAGAGCTGGCGGCCAAGCAGGTAGGAACCTGTCCTAGCCTCTTCCTTCAGGATGCTTCTTCTGGCTAAGCCAACTCACACCCCACCTTCGCCAAGGGCCCCTAGAACCCGGCACACCAGAAGGCCGAGAAGGAGGCTAGGTCGAGGGAGTGGAGCATCAATGAAGAAAAGAGGAAAGGGCAAGAGGCTCCCGTGACTGGAATAGTCTGGAATATCTGTTCCTCACATAGCCTCAGGCTGCATCTTTGCAACCAGGTCTTGCTGGGAGATCTTGCCTTCTACGAAACATCTGCCTTCTTTTGTTCTTAAGTCTGATTTCTTTGCTCAGACTGCCTTTGGTATTCATTTAAAAGTATATTTCCCCTGCATTAAACATGGGCCCACTTCCGATGGGAAGAGGAAGAACATAGTAATTTGACTCTAAGGCTCTGCCAGTGGGTTTCTCCTCGTCTTTCGATGCAGAAAAAGGGTACAAGATAAGTGATCATGGATAAAAACACATTGATTAGGGCACATCCCTAAACAGAATTCTATGTGGCCATGAACAAGATGAAGGAAGATCTATAAGTACTGATGTGGAGGGATGTACATAGTATATTGATGACTACAAAATAAATCAAGTTGCAAAATATGTATGTTGGTAAATGTATTGGAAACGTTCATAGTCAACTGTTCTCAGAAGTTCTTTCTGGAAAGTGGGTTCGGAGGGTGATTGGTATCCATAGCTATGCTTTCTGCTCTGAGTAAACAAAACCCCAACTCAGTGGCTCACACAATAAGGAAACGCATTATCTTGTAAAGCAAGAAGTCCATGGGGAGAGGGACTCTGGGGTTGATGAACTCAGCAGCTCAGGACATTGCTGGGGACCCAGGTTCTTTCCATCTTTCTGCTTTGCCATCATCAGTGGGTAGGCTTTGTTCTCAGGCAGCACCCCTCTTGGGAGACAGATGCAGCCAGTAGTTGCCGGAGGAACAGCCAAACTTCACATGGGCAGCAGATAAGGCCAGAGTCTCCTGCCAGAGGAGCCCCAGGGCTCCCGGCAACAAGCCTGTCTTGGGATCCCAGGCCCCGCTCCAGCACGGCTGGAAGCAGCCGCTGGGAAGCTTGGCTGGGTCGCTCGGGCGCTGCCGTGGCCATCGTTCCCTTCTGCTGCCTGTGGCTGCAGATCTGAGAGGACAGCTTCAGGACACCCACAGGCTGTCTTCTGAAGAACAAATGCGCACCTGACGCCCCCTATGTGTCACATGTGTCACCTGTCTTTGCCACAACCAAGACCACTATGATTGACTTAAAAATAGACAAGTCAGGGGTGCCTGGGTGGCTCAGTAGATTAAGCGTCTGACTTCGGCTCAGGTCATGATCTCACAGTTTGTGGGTTCGAGCCCCATGTCGGGCTCGGTGCTGACAGCCAGCTCAAAGCCTGGAGCCTGTTTCAGATTCTGTGTCTCCCTCTCTCTCTGACCCTCCTGCTCACACTGTCTCTCTCAGAAATAAATAAAATGTTAAAAAAAAAAAAATAGACCAGTCAGAAGGCTCCCAGGTGGCTCTGTAGGTTAAGCCTCCAATTTTGGCTCAGGTCATGATTTCACAGTCGGTGGGTGTGAGCCCCGGGCTTGGCCCTGTGCTGACAGCTCGGAGCATAGAGCCTGCTTGGGATTCTGTGTCTCCCTCTCTCTCTGTCCCTTCTCCACTGTGCACCAGCTCTCTCTCAAAATAAATAAACGTTAAAAAAATTAAACAATAGACCAATCAGAACCACACCTCAAACTCAACTAGTGCCCACCTCCCTGGAATCATTTGGTTCTCAGGGGGAGGGGTAAGAAACTGCAAAAAATCCAGGTTCTCTTAGGAAGAAGGAAGTGGGGAAGGAAAGTCTGGTAAGTAGCCAACAGCACCTACTACAGTGAGAGGGGACCTTTTAGTCTGTACAGTTCTCTAGTAGTTTGGGTTTTTATGAGCTTGTATGACTTGTATAATAATAGTTATTTTACTTAGGGTAGTGAGAGAATGAGACTTGGCATTAGAAAGATGTTTGATTCCATCTCTATGATTTGTAATATGTAATCTTGGGCAAGTAATTTAACATCTTCAGGTCTTTATTGTGAAAAAGTTGAAAGTGGTTCTCAAGTTGGAAAAAAAAAAAAGAACAGAAAACATTTAAGAGAAAGGGGTTTCTTTTATGTCCTGGGAAACAAATTATTTCCTATCTGTGAAGCTTTAGAAACCTATGCGTTAGATTACACCACTTCAGGTTTGTTATTATTTTAGTATTTCAAAGAACTAGAATAATGCAGTCCTTCTATAAGCACATTAAAGACAGTCACAATGATCTCTTTTTAACAAGTTGAGTAAAATGTTCTTCTGTTTCCTCTCAACTAGTTTGTTGTCTGGAATTGAGAAAACAATACATTGTTCCCAAGAAGTTATGGGGTTTGGTTAGGAGGTTGTGTGGCTATTTTGAAAATGATCAGTTTAGTTCTATTTATTCATACACTTATATCTAATTTTGGTTCTTAATCACTTAAAACCGAATCAAAGCCCACTGTCCTAATATCACTTTGAATTGCCTACTAAGAAAACTGGAAAGTTGGAGAGCCATCAATAAGTAGGACATTAAGGTTTGCATATTTTCTCTTACTTTTTTTAATGTCTATTTATTTTTGAGAGAGAGACAGAGACATAGAGTGCAAGTGCGGGGAGGGGCAGAGAGAGAGGGAGACACAGAATCCAAAGTAGGCTCCAGTCTCTGAGCTGTCAGCACAGAGCCCAGCGGGCTTGAACTCACGAACCATGACCTGAGCCAAGAGCAGATGCTTAATCTACTGAACACCCAGGCGCCCCTATTTGCGTATTTTCTAAGAGATATTGGAAGTTGCAGAGAAGAATTGGTCCTTAGAGTCTAGGAAGTAAAGTTAAGAATTCAGATCGACCCTCAAATTGTGGTGAGATCTTAGGAGAATCATTTCCCTTTGCTGCTTTTAAGTTTCCTTGTTTACCAAACAAAAATAATTAAGCTGTTTGAAGATTACACCCTATCAATTACCTATTGCTGCATAAAAAGGACTACCCTAAAATGTAGTGGCTTAAAACAGCAATCCTTTAATTTGCTCAGTGTTTTCTTTGGGTTGGTAATTTGGACTGTGTTCAGCTAGTCAGATTTTCTGAGCTAAGGAGCTTTTCTGCTGATTTCATCTGGGGGTCGCTCACGTGGTGACAGTTTCTAGATTGGCTGAGAGTTGATGGACCTAGGAGGCCATGCTGGAGTGCTCATCTCTGCTCCTTCATTTCAAGTAAACTAGCTCAGGCTTCTTCACCCGCCATTCTCCGGGAGCAAGAGAGGGCAAGCCCGATGCCCAAGCACTGCGCCGTGTCTCCTAATGTCCTATTGGTCAAAGCAAGTCACATGACCACAATATCAGTGTGGGAAGGGTCTACACAAGAGGTTGGAAAGAGGAAAGCCTTACTGAGTGGGAGCCGCTGGTGTTACAGTCTGCCACAGGCCCATTACATAAATCAATCAGCCTGTATGAAGAATTATATTGTACATTTTAAAATACCAAGTGAGGGGTCCCTGACTGGCTCAGTTGGTGGAACATGTGACTCTTGATATCAGGGTCATGAGTTCAAGCCCCACGTTGGGTGTGGAGCCTGCTTAAAATAAAATAAAGTAAAGTAAAATAAAATAAAATAAAGTAAAATAAAATAAAATAAAAACAAAGTGAGTTGTAGTTATAAACCTTGAAGACAAAACAAGTGTTGTTACTCAGAGTGCATTTGTAACTGCAAGATCCTCAGAGAAAGAGTGATATGTGAACTCAAAATGAGGTGTATCCATATATCAATACTTTTGTTAATTTGAAAAAGCCCACCCTAGAGGAAGGAGATGTGAACAGTCCCACCCAGAGCTCAACATCATCTTGACCCCTGATCTTGGGAGGTCGTCTGCTCCCTATGTCTTCATTTCTTCTCATTGGATCTGGAATCAATTGCCTCCATACACTTAACACAGTTGGTAAATTTTAAGTGTACACACATTTGTTTGTTGTGCTTCTGTCCAGGGATGGTATAGAAAGCTCCATGACGACAGGACCCATGTTGGTTTCATTCCCCAGCTGACACCCAGCACCCAGCACCAGAGCGGGCACGGAACAGGAGCCTAATAATATTTGCAGAGAAGCGAATGACATGAAAAGCTGCACTTACACAGCGTACCTCCCGATGTTGTTTCCTGGCGACAGGCAGCTTCTGTTCTGAGAATACAATGAACTTTGTCTCTCATGGATGATTTATTCTGTCAATAATTTGCCAGGGGAGGGCAGTAGCTCCTTGCTTCAAACTCTCATCTCCACATACCTCTTCTGTAAATCAGTCCTTCCCCGAACCGCGGCGGGACCAAATCCCGTGGATTCTACCTGAGCTCTGCCTCTGGACTCCCACCCTTCCTTCTGCCTCTGACTTCGGGGTCTTTGTCACTTCTTGCTGGGATTCCCAGCCTGGATTCCTCACTGGGTTCCTTGCCAAACAGTCTTGCCTAATCCTGCCTCGCCTCCCCGTCAGCTGCCAGAGATACCATCGTCAAAATATTTGAAAAACGAATTCTAGGATTAAAGACCTCCCCCGATCTCCCCAACCTAGAGATAAGATCGAGTCTAAACATTTTGGCATGAGGTTCAATGAGCCTTCCAATCTGCCCTGGGGTCCTTCTCCCAACTCCTCTCCCATAGGCCCCCCTTTCCCGGCATGCAGCCTCTGCCCAGCCACAGGGAAGGTTCCAGTGTTGTTGAATGGCTGCAACGCCCTAATTTGATGCCTTTGCCTGGCCTGTCTTTGTCTCCCCTGATGCAGCCCACTGTCTCCCTCCTGACTCGAAGTCTCGTTCTTGGGAAGTCTGTTCGGTTTCTGTTGTTCCCATCTCTATTCAAATCTTCATTTCAATGTGTCTTAAGTCTGCAGTCACGGCTCCTGCTGCTGATGCTTTTCAGCAAGGAAGGAGCATTGTTGGAAGAGATGAAAAAATAGGGAGAGAAAAAAATTGTGTCCCACAGTCAACATCCCATCCCTGACTTACTTCCTCCTGACCCGCTATTCCACTAAGTTACTCTGAAAGGCCTTTTGTGAGAATTATCTGTTATGTTTTTCTGCCGGGCATCTCTTCCCTCTTCTGGAAAGGACACTCTTCTTTCTTCGGTATCGGAAAGGCTGCCCTGTGTGGTTGGAGTGGCTTGGGTCGTAGCCACGCCCTTGGACATCATGAATGGGAGAATTGGGTACATGACCCAAATGACCCCATTCAAAATCTTCCTTAAGACATTTTTTTTTTCCCAAAGAAACTTGGGGAGATGCTCTCCTTTCTCTGAGGATGCTAAGCTGGTATGTGCCTCCAGTGATCATTATGATCTCCGGTAGAGAATGCCTGTTTAAGAGATTGGGAGTCCTGATGACATCATTGGAGCTTCTGGATCAAGCTGTGCCTGAAGTTAATTGACTTTCCTTTCCATAAGCCAATAAATTGTCTTTTATTTAATCTAGTTGGTTTGGAGTTTCTTCCAGTTGGATCTGAAGGGGTCCCCAACTACTATACCTTTAAAACACTCCATTATTGTCTCAGGTTTACTCAGAGACATGGATAAGACATGAAAAGAAAGGCCCTGGCCTCATGGCATGGGGTAGGAAACAGGAGCGAGGCAGCATCTTTGGGTGAGGAAAGCATGTATCTCTCTAGCCCTCCTTGAGTCAGTGTCTCACGGAGCTGCGTCGTTCTTGTCTGGATATGTAGCAAGGAAGTTGCCAGAATTCAGGCAACCCATTTCCAGATATAAATAACAAAATGCATTCCTTTGCCCAAGATAAGCTCTTGGTTTAATTCTCTTTTGTATTACTAACACCTTACTTATCATTATGGTTACAAATGCTATCTGTATCGCTGGGTTAAGAAACCTGGTGCTCATTTTCCAAGTACTAAAGTAAAGGGGTAATTCCACTTTCCCCTCCCCCCCAGTAATTTTAGTGAACCATCGAGGTCATTTTGATTTTTCTTCAGAAAAATCTAAAAATGAGCAGTTACTCCTAGATCTTACTAATGAAGCCCATATCAAGCACAAAAGGAGTTTTGTGGCTACTGAACGGAAATAAAACGGGTCTTGTGAAAAACTTCACTCATTTTGGGGAGCCAACTTAAGGAAGATAAAAGGAGAGAAGCCCAAGAAATGATGGCACTTTAAGATATATATATATATGACTTCAAAAGACATTTTTCTTAAACTTTTTTTTTAATGTTTTATTTATTTCTAGGAGAGAGAGAGAGACAGCGTGAGCAGGGGAGGGTCAGAGAGAGAGGGAGTCACAGACTGAAACAGGCTCCAGGCTCTGAGCTGGCAGTCAGCACAGAGCCCGACGCGGGGCTCGAACCCACGATCCACGAGATCATGACCTAAGCGAAAGTCGGACGCTTAACCGACTATGCCACCCAGGCGCCCCTCAAAAGACATTTTTCTTAAAGTGGAGAAAGTCTCTATTTAGAGGTTTTTAGGGCAAATCAAAATTATGGGCCATTTTGGTAAAGGGGAACTGTTAAAAAGGCAGGATTGACAAGAATAAACTAGCAGGGGAAAAAATCTGCTTTTAAACTATTATTGGCTATTCAACAAAGGCCAGTGAACCCATACAGTGCTGTGGCGGGGCATGGGTGAACTATGTGTGAAATGTCAGAGCGAATAAAGTCAGTTGGGTCCTCTCACTAAGAACCAGCTTCAGGATGAGTTAATAAGTTCAGGCCATCTTGTCTAAAAGGGTCAGAGAGAAGCTATCATAAGAGAGATGTGCCCAGGAGGCCTGGAGAAAGACAAGCCTCATGTGGCTTCCTCATTGACCTTCCTTTCTTCTGCTCCGTAGCGTCTTGCTTTGATGTCATTGCCAAGCCCAGGTAAATAGAACATTTATTTCTTCTTACATTCGCTTACTCAGGTGACAGTGTTTACTGAGCAGCTACTGCAGACAAGGCACCGATGAGCAGCCTACGTGACCCGGTGGGGAGCAGAAGGCGCTGCACTGTGGGATTCCTGTCCCCACGCTCCACTCCTCACCTCTTCTAACCTGGGCTGTTCGGCAAATGTTTAGGATACAGACATTTTTGTGCCAGGCCCTGGGAAACTATAGATAGTTTGCAGCTGGGATAGCAGCTGGGCACGGGGTGATCCCTAAAGAAGCCCAAGTAGGATCCCCGATGCCGATGTTACAGGAAAAGGCTAAAATATAGCAATAGTGTTCCAGTGAGGTCGTGCATAATGAGTAGCCGAAATCTGCATCACGACAAAGGGTCTGATGAGACCGGAAGTGGGCACCATTGACCTTGTGGGTCGGAACGGGCATACTTTCTCTTTCAGATCAGGAACCGCCAACAAGTGCACTCAGCGTCTTAGAATCAGTGTCCAAGCTGGCGTGTAGGCCGGGCTTCGTACACCCTGCTGGTCACGCTGGAGATCTCTGCTCTGTCACTGTCCCAAAGGCAGAGCCCAGCGGGGGTTCACTGAGACAAAGCCCATGTCACTAGTCTCACAGGTATCAGTGAACAACACTGACAGTGACAAGCCTGCCTGAAACGTGCCTTGGGTCCCTGGTTACAAAGCAGCATTACGAGAACATTGTATGTTTGGAACAGAGGCCAGTGCTATGCAGGTAAGTGTCTCATTTTAGCAACTCATCCAGGCCCATAAGAGCTAACCATGGAGCCCTTCTGATCCATTCTCCGTGCTGCATCTGGTGAGTTTTAAGAAAATAAAATACAACCTAGTCTGAAAAAAGAAAAGAAAGAAAAGAATAATGCTGGCAAGGATGTGCAGAAATTGCAGCCCTGGTGCGTTGCTGGTGGGAATGCAAAATAGTGTGACCAGCAGAGGTGACGGTGTGGGGGTTTTCAGCCATCCCACTTCTGCTGCTACCAGAAGACAGGGGGTCTGGATGTTGGCAAAGTCCACAGACCTCACTGCCAGGACAGTGGCTGGTCCAAACTAGGTTCTTTATCATTGTAATTTTTCTTCTTTTTGTTCTTTCCTTGCCCTGGTTTCCTTCCCTTCTCCTGATTCCAACCTTTTACATACATCTTTGAGAAATAAACCTTCTTCCACCTGGTCCGCAAAGACCAGTTGCCACAATGTCTCCCATAACCTGAAGCCCTGTAGGGAAAGTTCCATGACACCCACGGCACCCTGAATCCTGAGGGGTGGCTGTTTCTCCCAGACCCCAGGCCACACCCACCTGCCATTCCAAACCCGTCACTAATATGGGCCCGGCTGGGACGGTAACGGCCGGTGTGTCTGGTGAATTGCACACTTCCTTAGCCCCACACGCCTAGACCATCGTCTACCTTCTTTGTAGGTCCAAATTTCCCCCCTCGATATCAACAATAATATCACATTCGTGGTATTATTTTTTTTTTATTTTCCCTGTCTTCCCTTTCTCCTATCTCTGTCCCCACTCACCAGGATTTTACTCTGGCTAAAACTTTTTTAAAAGTTTCTTCTTTATTAATATTCTTTGCATTCATATGGTCCAAAATGCAAAAGGTACCAAAAGACACATGCAGCGAAAGTTACTCCTATCTCTTTCCAGTTCCCTAATCCCTTCCCAGAGGTGACTACTATTATTAATTTGTTTGTAAGTTCTTATAGAGATATTATCTGTATTTATAAGCAAGTACATATATGGATTCTTCTCTTTCCTTTCCTTTTTTTTTTTTTTTAAACAAAATGGTAGTATGCTGTGCACATGACTATGTGCCATGCCTGGCTTTATTGTATTTAAAGACTATTTTGGAGAATGTGCGTATCAGTACATTAGAGCTTGCTCCTTCTCGTCATGGGATCTTAGCATTGCATTTTATGGATATGTCATGATTTATTTAACCAGTCCCCTCTTGCAGGATGCTATACACTGAATGTTTGTGTATCTCCCCTAAATTCGCATGTTAAATCCTAATGCTCAATGTGAGGGTATAGGGAGGTATTAGGTCATAAGGGTGGAGCTCCTATGGATGGTTTTAGTGCCCTATAAACGAGGTCCCAGAAAGAGCCCTCACCTCTGCCTCTATCCCTCTCCCCTGTTCTCTCTCCTTCTCTAAAAAAGAAAAGAAAAGAAATAAAGAGGAAGAAACTTAAAAAAAGTTGCAGCCAGAGTAAAGTCTTGGTGAGCAGGGACAGGGATAGGAGAAAGGGAAGACAGAAGAGCAGCTGTTACATGAATTTGGTATTATCGTTGATATCTAGGAGGTATATCATTGATATCTTTTGAGAGCGTGCAAGGCGGGGAGGGGCAGAGAGAGGGGCACGGAGGGTCTGAAGCAGGCTCTGCGCGGACAGGCTGACAGCAGCGAGCCCAGGTGGTCCCAGGAAAGCTGTTTACCTAACCTCAGGGTCTGGCAAAATGGGCCTGGCTGAGTGCACTCAGTGTACTTAACGTACATTCCAGTGTACTGCCCTGAAATGGAAGATCACGTAGCCGTCAAAAACTCAGTTTTCGAAAAATAGAATGGACAGCTTCAGTCTGTCAGCTAGGGTTGGATGATTGTAAGCAACAGAAACCGTCCAGGCCTCCTTAAGCAAAAGGGGGCTTGTGGAAAGACGTTGGGGGCGTGTCCCCCCAAAGCAAAGTGAGGCTGGAGGCCGGTGGCAAGTGGGCAGGAATAAAGATGGCTTCAGAGTGGGCAGCAGGGGCCTATCTGCCCGTTAATCTGGTAGCAGGAGCCTCTGGTGAGAGCGCTGGAGGGGCAGGGACTGACCCGAGCGAATTAATTCCCTCCCTCCTTGCCTCCCGCGTCCATGCGGTGCCTCTAGGCTGCACCGAAAGGCACCGTGTTGCTATTTGTACTTGTCTCTGGGAGGTGGATTATAGATGTTTGATCTTTTTTCTACTTCTCCGTATTTTCTACTTTTTTGCTAATATGCCAAAGCCCTATTTATTTAAAAAATTTCCGTGTGAAAAGTTTAAGCTTCCAGGGAAAAGTGCTGGAACTAGTACTTTTAGGACGGGCACCAGGTAAGAGCCTTCCTTTCTTCTTCCTCAGATTCCTCGTCCTCAGGCAACTAGAGACTTCACCTTTCCTCCACTGGCTTGCCACTTTCTCTCTATCAAAATCCGCTCTCCCGAAAAGGATATGGTATCAGGTACCCTCAGAAAGTTCAATAAGGATAATACTGACAATACCAAGAAAGCCAGCTGACAGTTACTGCTAAGGGCTGAATTGTGTGTCCTCTCTACTCCCTACAATTCGTAGGTTGAAACCCCAACCCCCTAAGTGACTGGGTGGGGTCCTAATCTGACAGGATTGGTGGCCTTGGAAGCTTAGGAAGTGAGATCTCTCCCCTTCTCTCTCCCCACCTCCCCCTGTCTCCTGCCTCTTCTCTTCCCCTTCCCCTACCCTCCATCCCTCCTTCTCTCTCTCTCTCTCTCCACACGCCCCCCCCCCAGAGAAAGGGCCCTGTGAGCAGAGTGAGAGGGGGTCCTGTGCAAGCCAGGAGGAGGTCTCTCACCAGAA